TCACAATAACCGAAGGTCGCCCTGGATGACACGCCTCCTATAGATCCAACAGGATGGGTGAGGCAGCTTTGTGTCATACTTATTTAACCCACATGTTCAACTTGAAGCGAGAGCCTCAACCGGAATAAATAAAAACACTGCCAAGTTTCTTTGCCGGTGAAGCACATTTTGATTGAGTGCAAGTATATCAATGCAATAAGAGCCAACTATTCACCTCGAATTTACTTGCTCAACCTGGTCTTTTTTTATACGCCCACATTTTCATGTTAACGTATGTTGTCGTTGCCACTGTCGTCCGTCTGAACGTCCGTCCATCCACAATTTGTTTGTGGACAGATTACAGGTCACAATTTTATCCGATTTTGACGAAACGTGACGTATAGGTTTATCTCCCAAAGATCTCGACTCCTTTCGATATTGACATGTATCAGACCATAACTTTATGGATTATACCTTATGGACACTCTCTAGAAGTCACAATTTTTATTAGATTTTGATGAAACTTAAACAAGCCAACAGTATCGGATCCTTTCGATATTCGCACATATCGGTCCGTAACTTCCATGATTATGGTCTGTGATGGTACGAAAAATCGTGTTTTTAGATTGTGGACCCTCTAGAAGTCCAAATTTTTATTTGATTTGAAAAACAGTTCAAATTTATCACAGTTACACCCTAATGACGATTGGGTTGGAATTTCATGAAAATCAGACAAAAATTGTCGGGCAAATTAGTCGCTCCTCGTGCGCTAATAGAGCAAAAGTATGTAATACCACGTTGGTAGACCCTCTCGAGGTCACGATTTTAATGAAACTTTAAATATATGTTTATATCTCAAAGATCTCGGTTCTATCCCTTTCTATACTCTTCAAAAAAAGTAGGGGATATTCAGAAACAATATAAAACCGAGGAAATGCACAGTGTATGTTAATAACAGGCCAATTGCCTACACATGAATATAAACAGTTCATTTCACTCGCAAAGAGATACACCATCAAAAGTGAAAATTGGCGTTTTTGATTTTTGTCTTAATAATGAGTAATTGCTCCACCAATCCTCAGACATTCAGCAATTCGTCGTGGCATGCTCCTAATCAACTGTCCAATCACGATTTGGAACAATCTGACCCACCACCCCTCTTGCAGTGCCACGGCCAATTTTTGCAGTGTTGTCGGTTGACGTCGACGAACACGTCTCCCGATCAAATTAAACGTAACATACTAAAGCAAAGATACGCTGAACAGTAAATCTTATGCAAGAACCGATAACCAGCACGCGGCAGTTTTCATCAACCCTTCCTTGAAGTGTCAAATTTGACAGTGAACCCCTCCCACGTGTATGGCGCTATTGTGTCTGGCGACAAATTCTTCATCTGTGAACATACTCTCAAATCATGTCAAGTGTCCATGACTATTTATATCACAACCTGCTACATATTTCAATTTCCCCTACTTTTATTTTTGAGGAGTATACATTTAAAATACATCTGTGATATTTGTATTTATTTATTCATATGAATATTATTTTCTAATATAACAGTCTGTATAATATTCCATCATATATTTGGCGCAATAGTGCCCGGTTAGAGCTCACGTGCCATTTCATTCATTCATTCATTCATTTGGTGGGAGAAGAATCGTAAATTGTATAATTTGTATATACGAATATATGTATATGTATGTATTTGCAAATAAACTATATTATCGAAGGAAAAATTCATTCTTCACCTTGGTCTAAATCTATTAGTGAGATAATTTTCAAACTTTGAGTAAATTTCCTGTCAATTGAGATCATTGCTGGAAGGAAGTTCTTGTGAACGAGAGGAACAGAAATAGGTCAGAATCTGGAGATCTGTCTGCCAATTCTGCCTGTTTTGTGAGAAAACGTTTGTACCATCAGTCGCCCCATGACCATCGCACTAATCACTAACTGTGCAGTTTAATATAACCTTGTATGCGAGATGTGGTAGAATGATGACATAATGGAATCGAGCGCAGTACCGGGAATTCTCGTATTAAAGCCCTGGGCTTAATTTCGAATTTGACCATGTCAGTGATGAAACATTTCTTCTGAAATTAAGCCCAGGGCTTTAACTCGAAAAGAGGAAAAAATGACATCATTTGGGTTCTTTTTATAATTTTGAATGGAACGAATCAAATTCATCAACAAAAATGCCTTTTAAAACACAATTGTTATACACCGTCACATAAATGTTCTGAAATACAAAACGAAATTGTCCATAAACTTTAAATTTCAAAGTTCTTTGAACGAATCAGATCTCAGGGCTAGCTTGTACTAGTATGGTGAGCATCCTTTACCCATCAATGTCCTCGTCTGAACTGGAATCCTCGAACGGGTCGTCACTGAGTTGGTCCTCACCTGGCAGTACAAGACCGGGATGTGACTGGAGAACATCCCGTAGCCTGTAGTTCACATGTGGTTTGAAAATTTAAAAGGGAGACCACTCTAAAATAAATTTTAAATTGAAGCCCATGGGCTTAAATTCGAAATTTAAACTCGTTATTTAGCTCATGGGCTTAATAACCGCAGGGCTTAAATACGAGGATTCCCGGCAGGCACGAAATGTTTTTTTCAGATAGCGACGTATAATATGTAATGGGGCCTTTAAGTTTTGGGGTCTGGGCCTGGAAAGTTTTAGCCAATTTCCTACCATTTTAGATCCATGGTGGGAGCAAATTCTTGTGAACGAGAGAATCAGAAATGTTACAGAATCACTAGACCTACCTGTCAGTTCCGCCTGTTTGTACAGTCTGTCGCCCCACGACCCACTCGCTAGTGGTACTACACACTGGGCAAACCGTGATATGATTGTGATGAAATGGTATAAGACCACGGCGGAGTGGGAGGTTGATGACATAATGGAATCGAGCGACGTATAGCGCGAAAAAAATTCAGATAGCGACGCATAAATGTAATATAAAGAGTTTTGAGCCATACCCTCCCCCCCCCCCTCGATAGTTCACTGCTTAGGGGCGCCTTCCTTGTGTCGCGTGGGCGCTTACTTGGTCACATGGTGGGGGGGGGGGGCACTTGTAATGACAAAGAATAGGGTCGCATGTTACCCTTTGTTAGACCTTTGTGGGTACAGATCACCAAATATTTGATTACCTCACAAACGATGTTACTTTCCTATTCACCCGTCCACATTTCAGTATGGTCGTGCCGTATCATGTCGTTACCCTGTACGTCGGTCCATCAACAAGTGGTTTGTGGACGCAATAGAGGCTACAGTGTTTGGCAGATTTTTTTTTTCAAATCTGGTGTGAAGCAATGAGGTCACGAGTGGATAAACCTTCTCGATATTCAGTGTGCCGTTACTCTCTTTTCCGAAAACCACGTGAAAACGATAGTGGCTGTAATTGTTAACGGATGGGTCATGAGACGATGAAACCTTACTGTTTTTCAGTGTTCTCCAACCTTTCCTTACAGAGTTATCTACCTTTTCAGAAAAACCACTTAATGCGATAGAGGGTATAGTATTTAATGGATTTAGATCAAACTTGGTGGGAAGCATCGGCGTCATGAACCCCATAGATGACTTTCCGTTCCCGAGTCATGTAGTACTATTCGATCTTTCAGCTTCACGTTGTCTACTCTTCCTTGATGAAAATTATAACTACAGTTCAGGTTTTAATTTCTAACTGTTTTTATTTATATAAAAACCTTCTGGCATTAGTCACAAATCTTCTTCGCTCTCAATTCAGTAGATGACCATTATGTCAGGCAATGTGAGATCTGCCAAATACCATCCCCTTACTCTATTTTATAGTGCCAACACATTACACATTTAAGTGATTTACGTCATAGACTGACCGTGGTTCCAGTTTACAAATATGGAATAGGAATACCCCTACACTGCAGTTTGGGGAGGGACTTATTACTAAATATGGTCAATATAGACACATTCCATTCCTGACCATGAAGATGACATATGATAAATGTGTTTTTTAACCTATAGTTCAATTCATATAGAGATACATCCCATTCCTGACCATGAAGACGACATTTAACCTTTAAACAACTATCAGTCAAGGCCATAATATTATCATAGTCAGGTATAACTTTTAAAGTTACAATTTCATATTTTCTAAGAAAGTCAAAACATAATTATTTCTATGTCTTTTGTTGTCAACTCACTATTAAACGATCATAGGTGTCATTCTCACACTTAAAACTCATTTACACCGGACATAATAACACAATTACCTCCCAATTACCTCCCTTGTTTTCAGTTCTCCACCATGGAGTAGCTATCCTCAAACGTTGGAATTTGAAGAGGAAAATGATATTTTTGCCAATTTCTCAACTGGCAATAGTGAATTATAGGATTAATAGGATAATTCCTTAACAAGGTAGAACTGTTTATAGATGCCATCTATTCTGAGGCTTTATTTTAATAAATTTTAAAAATATAACTTAAAAATATGAAATTGCAACTTTAACAGACTTTTGTGAAATTTGATGTGCAGCCCTATGGTCATGAGACGAATTTCTGTCCCGGATTTATGCCCCTTTTCCGAAAAAACCTTTTGTACGTGATAAAGGCTTTATTCGGTCTTTTTCATATTTGGCTTATGGAAATTCTGGGTTTCCCGACAGAAACGGTGTGAACGATTTTGGCTTTGAGGGGACAAAACCTTTTGCACCGGAGGTACAACCCCCCCCCCCCACAACGTCCTACTGTTTTGATCCGACTGAGCTAATGAAGACGGGCATACGCCGTACAGTGTGCTGTAAGGGAAATTTTGCCCGGGCAGCGGCACTATGTTCTACTCGCATATCGAATTCAAACTATAAGGGAACTTTCTTTTACGTTCACGCCAATGTGTGCACGGGGCCTTGGTTTTTCGTCCAGTCCGAGCGACTAGACAGCTGTCCTTGTCGGGCCCTCCGTCCTGCACCACTGACAAGGGGGAACCACGTTGGAAAATCTGGATGAGACACCGTGTTAAGAATTCTGCCCAAAAAATACAAACGTGTTATATCAGATGAATTTATTTCTCCCATAACATCTAAATAATACGCTAGTCAGGTAATCACATATTTTGATAGTGTGTGCATATTCGTATGGCTTACTAAAAATATCAGATATATTTTTAAAAAAAAAAATAATTAAATATCACAATGCATACAAATATTTAAAATATAAAAATGAAAAGAAATATACAATTTAAATTTTATAATCAAAACATTGCCTCCTAAAAAACGTCTAACGTTTTACAAAATAGATCCGATTGATCAAATAAATTCTATAATGACAAGTAACCGCAATACCTGATTACCAGAGCAATTTTAGTTTAATTCGTGTAATGAAATGGGGTTTAACGTCCTACTGTTCTGCTCCTATACTGGGCTAATGAAGACGGGCATACGCCATACAGTGTGCTATGAGGGAAATTTTGCCCGGGCAGCGGCGCTACGGCCTCGGTTTTTCGTCGACCACGCCGGAAAATCGGGATGAACTTTCTCGGCCAATGCAGGGATCGAACACCCGACCTCTAGGCTAGCGAGCCAGCGTTTTACCCACTTAGCCACGTGATCCCCCAGTTTAATTCGTAAAGTAGGGCCAGTTGGGGTTCGTGATAAACTGGAAAATTTATAACATTTTTTGTCGAATTTAACTATTCTACTCTTTACGATATGAGTACCACGGAATCCATATTACACCGGGTCCTGTTTCCTCCCACTACCAAAGCCCCCTACGCGCACGTGAATTATTGAAATAAAACTGAACCATATGTTAGTCCCGAAATTACCTAGTTTGTGTCGAGTGGACGTTAAACCCCATGTCTTTCTCTCTCTCTCTTCTCTTCAGATATGTTTACGACGTTACTGCTCACCAAGGAACTCGCATATTACACCAGCACTAAAACCACTTCATCGACAACCAATTAAATTAAGAACAGATTTTAAGCTCTTGTGCCTTGCATATAAGTGTTAACGTGGAAACGGACCTTCCTATATATGGCTGTATATTAGACTCAAAATTCTAACATGCTATCGTCTAATTTCCAACTTCTATTCATGTAATTTCTAACTTCTATTCATGTAATTTCTAACTTCCATTCATGTAATTTCTAAATTAAGACAATGTATAATCCAACTTCTTTTTTTGTTCAGTGTAAATTTTAATTCTGTTTCATCTTATTTCTATTATTAAGACGAAAAATGTCTACTTTGTTGTCGCTTTACATGTTAAGCATGGAAGTCAAACAAATTTAGAATTTTGATACTTCTACTTAGCAACAATCATTATGACGTCGTTATACATTGTATTAATTTAGAAATTACATGAATAGAAGTTAGAAATAACATGAATAGAAGTTAGAAATTAGACGATAGCATGTTAGAATTTTGAGTCTAATATACTGCCATACCTATACAGCAGATCGTTTATCACCGTATTTTCCTTATCGGACACTCCGTTGTCAACAAGAACATCTTCTTATAATTACAAAATTCCGAAAGATCGTTTGTTCACATTGTGCCTCTTCTGTGGGATTCGTTACCCCAGAAGATTAACCTATCGTCTTAATTTCATTAAAACATGGATTAAAGCCTGGAAAGCGTATTTTATGACTACATAGATTGGTTTGCAATGTCAGTGTTTGTGTCGTGTCCGTGTTAGAAGACATGTTTACAACTAGTTTTTAAAACTCATCATTTACGACCTATTATGGCACCCAGAGTCTGTAGCGCCTTGCGCATGTATAATAACATGGAGAAATGAAATGAAATGGGGTTTAACGACCCACTGTTCTGCTCCTATACTGGGCTAATGAAGACGGGCATCCACCTTACAGAGTGCTATGAGAAAAATTTTGCCCGGGCAGCGGCACTATCACCTACTCGTATATCGAATTCCAACTGCCATGGGATCTTTTACGTGCATTCCAATGTATACACGGGACCTCGGTTTTTCGTCTCATCCGACGGACTAGACAGCTGTCCTTGTCAGGCCCTCCGTCCTGCATCACTGACAAGGGGGCTCTTTTAGATTTGGACCCCTACAAGTAGCGCAGTCAGCCCCAATGAATGCCGTACAAAGTACAAAGTGCTATCATCAGTAAAACACGAGTCTTAAACATAAAAATTACTAGTTATAAAGTAAAATATAAATCTCAATATAGCTGCTATCATCAGTAAAACACGAGTCTTAAACATAAAAATTATTGGTTATAAAGTAAAATATTAATCTCAATATATCTGCTATCAACAGTAAAACACGAGTCTTAAACATAAAAATTACTGGTTATAAAGTAAAAATATAAATCTCAATATATCTGCTATCATCAGTAAAACACGAGTCTTAAACATAAAAATTATTGGTTATAAAGTAAAATATTAATCTCAATATATCTGCTATCAACAGTAAAACACGAGTCTTAAACATAAAAATTACTGGTTATAAAGTAAAAATATAAATCTCAATATAACTACTATCGTCAGTGAAAAACAGTCCTAAACACAGCGCCATCAACCAGTTCCAGATTTAGCTATAGGTATGGCTTCAAGATCTAGGGTTCCTACGAACTAGGCACTGTAGTCTTAAACACCTGTCTTCATCCTCGTTCATAAGCGGAATAGCCTAGTATTTTTATTCCGAGGACGAGGGATTGCAGAAGCAGTGACATGTCCTCCTAAAATAGAAAGTCATTGAAAATTACAATATTCATGGATGTATCATACGATCTGCTCCTATACTGCCCACTGGGCTAATGAAAACGGGTTTTTCGTCCCATCCGAACGACTAGACAGCTGTCCTTGTCCAGCCTTTCGTCCTGCACCACTGAAAAGGGGAAACGACATCGGAAAATCTCGATGAATTTTTTCGACCCACTTAGCCACCGCGATCCCCTTATTTAGAGGCAGTGTTGATTCAGAATTGGTCCAACGCAAGGCCACCGAGCATACAGTTCAACAGAGCGGGGTCCGCGACGAACACTGTCAGCACCGATAAACTCATGTGGACCCCTCATGCAAGTGGTACGTTTTCATAGCTACCCAGTCAATATCTGGGCAATGCTTCTCGAAATCTTAACTAACGATAGAATCCAAATTTCAGTAGATACTTCCATTTTGATTGTCTAAGCATTACAATCAATCTAATATTATCTAATCAAGTTACTAAAATTTCAATTTTATCTTAATTAAAATTTCGGGAAACAGGTCCCAGATTAGGTACACACTTTCCAAATCAATTTGTCTCTTTTGTAATTGACTTCAAACACAGAGAAGTCACATCTTGGTCGTACAAGATCGTGACAAGGTGTTGGGAAGCCTGTTCAACGTCGTTGGTTTTCAATAAGCGAATTATTGAAATATAATTGAATCATAGGTTAGTCCCGAAATGCGTGGGTGTGGGTGTGGGTGTGTGTGTCTATCTCTCTCTCTCTCTCCCTCTCTCTCTATTTCAAATAATATCACCTACCCATCTTGATGATAGCATACCCTCCGCCTGATTCCTCTGGGAACCTTTAATAAAAAAGTACAAGATGAGCAACAGGTTTTTACAAATATTGATTCTTACCTAATCGATATCCGTACAGACAAAATTCAAATCAACGTATCCATATAATTATTTCTAATTATGTGTGTAAAGTATCAATCTAATTAAAATACTGATTTATATTTCGTTTCGTTTTTTTATACTTTCGATGGCCTACACTACATGAAGATCTGACCGGTTGTTGCTATTGGTCACGTCAGAGGTAATACGATCGGCTTTTGACCCTATGACGTCAGACATTTGATTAACCAATCAGCATTGATGTCAATAGTGGATTACCCACAGTTCCGTGCAAAACACGCCTAAAACTCACCGTAACAGATCGTTTCATTGGTTAATACCTCACACTATTTTGAAAACATCAATAATAACAACTCTTCCAGATCCTAGTGTAGTAAAGACAAGTAAAACGAAAATTTGAACTATAAAAACGAAACGAAATAGGATTAGGAAAGCATCGACCCTCGGCCAGTTTCGCCAATGTTGGTTCGTAAATTTAAGATAATAAGTTTTCATTATTCACCGGAAGACTTCTGGGTAGTGAATGCTTCTCAATGTTGGACAGATGATTCGGCCATTGGGCGTTTCGGCCTAAGACGTTTCGGTCAGTAGACATTTCGGCCCAGGACGTAGGTGAAAACAAACAAATAAATCTCTTGTAAAGAAAAGAAAAACAAATAAATCTGTTGAAGAATAAATAAAAATAAGACAAAAAGGCCGAAACGTCCCCATTTTTTTTTTACAAAAAGTGGCCGAAAAGTCCTAGGACGAAATATCCTAGTCCGACAAGTCCACTGGCCCAAACATCCTACATTCTTTTCGGTATCCATTACATTTGACATTGACTCACGACAATGCACTATAATGTGCTCGGTTTGTGTATTTTGTAGGTTACGGGGGGGGGGGGGAGTTGGATGGCTGAATGGTTAGCGTGCGCGCGCTGTATCATAAAGTCTGTCATTGAGTCGACTGGCATGGTTTTGAATCCCCAGTTGTACGTGACAAGGAGTAGGGTCGCCTGTCCAACCTCGTGGGTTTTCTCCGGGTCCTCCGGTTTCCCCCCACTCCTAAAGACCCTTACGCGCAAGAGAATTATTGAAATAAAATTAAACCATATGTTAGTCCCGAAATGACCTAGTTTGTGTCGAGTGGACGTTAAACCCCATTTCTCTCTCTCTCTCTCTCGTAGGTTACGCCGTGTAATTTGTTATTTACGCGAAAAATGTGACATGAAATGAAATTAATTTTAAGGAAAATCCGAGAACCCGTGTACACATTGGCGTGGACATAAATGTCGCTTTTCACTTGAAATTCGATATAATTTATATCGAATTTATAATTTAACTTATAGCACACTGTATTGCATAGTTAGAGTGGTACATGCTCTAAAAATTTTACAACAAACAGACAATATTTCGGGCTTATATTAACATTATATGATAAGACTTACGTAAAAACTTCATTCGTCAACAATGGAAGTCTGGCCACGTTTGATTTTTGAGGATATAACCATTTGGGAATTTTTTACAAATGGTAGGCTGCCCCACCATAAATACATATCTCCAAATATCTCGACAATTACACCACAATACTTATATATATACTAAGCCTTAAATCAGTCTCGCACAATTATAGTCACTAAATAAACGGCCATGTTGTACTTAATAAGATATGACCATTTAACCATCTATAAATAATACACTGAAAAATGGTTCGGAGTGTCGTCCATGACATCCAGACACTTTTGAGCAAAAAATAGGTTACGTGCCCTTGTTTTGAAATTAGTCTCACTTAACCAGTCTACCGACCATTCTCCGTCTGATTGACAGGCCGGGATAATCAAGACTACTTTTTTACGAAACATGACAGAAAGCTAGAACAAGAAATTGAATTTACAAATAACGCCCGTTGGGCGACACAATAATTGTTTTAAGAACCTTGTAAAAGTAAAATGAAACTACTGCTAGTATCATTTTCCTGCCCAACCCACGTTATTCAGAGATATTATTTCTACTAAACCAAAAGATGCCACTCCTAACGGTTTAGTTAATGATAAAGCAATTTAAAAAATAAAACGAGCGTAATTTCTAAAGCTGCAGTTATAACCAAAAAGCTAAATATTACTGCTATTCAGAATCGTCAACAATAGATTTTTTACGTCTGTAATAGTTATTACAAGTGTTGAGAATTTCACGTGCTGTGGCTATTTATAGACACAAAGTGTCACACAAAGAGCCCGAGACTCGTCTGTGATTCAAATAGTTACTTCACTGAAGCGTGCACATTCAACGTGTCGAGTACAACTTTTAGTAGGGAAAAGTTTCGGCCACGGGGCACCCTACAAATGGCTCAAAAATCTGACCGGGTCCCACGTTAAAGGCAGTTAACTCTTAGTGACAATACGAGTTATGTCCCTTGATCACATTAAAAATATAACCGACGCCCCTGTAACGAAAATTTCTTTATCACCGTCTCGAAAAACATCGTTTATTTCCTTGTTGTGACGTAACGGAATACACTCAATGAAACGATTGAATTTAACATATGTACGCATGCGCAAGCGCTTAGTTGCTTTAACAATACACCAACCCCTTCAAATGTCTGAGGGGATCACGTGGCTAAGTGGGTCAGACGCTGGCCCCCCTAACCTGGAGGTCGGGTATTCGATCCCTGCATTGGCGAGAAAGTTCATCCAGATTTTCCGGCGTGGTTCTCCCTTGTCAGTGATGCAGGACGGAGGGCCTGACAAGGATGGGACGAAAAACCGAGGTTCCGTGGACACATTGGCGTGTACGTAAAAGATCCCTTGACAGTTGGAAATCGATGTAAGAGTAGGCCGTAGTGCCGCTGTCACGGAAAAATTTCAAACATAGCACACTGTATGGCGTATGCCCGTCTTCATTAGCCTAGTTCGGAGCAGAACAGCAGGACGTTAAACCACATTTTAGTTTATTTCTGTTTGTTGGAAATTGGAAAAAGGGGCAATTATTAAGCTAAAGAACCCGAGGTCAGTTTGTGACAGGATTAAGCATTGCTCACTTTAGAAACTCTCCACAGTGATTGCAGTATGACAGATAAGTGTGGCAGTTTGTATAAGGACAATTTAATATTTTAGGCATGAACCACTCTACATATGCCGGTCTTCATAAGCCAGATCGAAGAAGAACAGTGGGATGTTAAACCCTATTTCATCATGTTAAACCCTATTTCATCTCTCTCTCTCTCTCTCTCTCTCTCCAGTTTGTATGATTTTCTTACCTTTATTTTCAACTTTTCAATTATTTTCTTCATTTCCTCCTGGTTCTCTTTGAGTATGATTTCAATACTGTCCATGTCAGGAGTCTAATTAATAAAGACATATATTAGCAACAATACCTCTTTCTTTATTCGTAAATGATATCTAGGGATTTTTTTTTCATGTAGATCTGTTCCTTGTATTTTATTCTGAATTGATGTGTTTGAGACGAAACCCTCCACCACCCCCTGTCCGGTCTTCATTAATAAATTATATAATAATTATAATTTGTTGTTAATAAATACGCATTTAGTATAATTTTGACTTCTCTCATTTAGGCTGTCAATAAAAATAACGCAATCATCAAGGGCAGATAACTTTAAAACGTGTCCCCCGATAGATTAACCCAGGGGTTAGTGGAGTATAATGAAATGGAACTACTGGTGATACCAAGGATGACCTGTTCCTTGTATTTTATTCTGAATTGATGTTTGAGACGACCCCCCCCCCCGAATTGTTTTAAAGCAATTTTCATATAAAAAAAAGGAAATATGAAAAAAAATGTAAATGATTTTTTTTTATTTTTCTGCATGTTTTTGCTTTTGTAGTTTCTGCAGCGACTGGGTCAATGCAGGCGGGTATGTTTATGAAAAAATGAAATTTCTTACCTTTTCTTTTGACTTTTCAATTATTTTCGTCATTTGCTCCTGGATCTTGCGTATGTCATGAGTCTAATAAATAAAGACATATTAGGATAAATACCTCTTTCTATAATCGTAAATGGTATTTAGGGATTTTTTATTGGACATATCCATTGTAATTCATTCTGAATTGATATGTATGCAACGAAACATCCCACCTCCCACTCGAAAATAAAATGTTAATTAAAAAGATTATGAAATGAAATTAAATAGGATTTAAGGAAAACCCGACTACATCGTCTTTTCCCCATCCTTGAGCCAAAAGTTGAGAGTACGTTCTAAGAAAATTAAATAATGTCTGAAAATATCTTGAAGTCCTAAAGAAAGATGGTAAGATTCTGACACTTCTTGATAGTTCTACATGATGTTCTCGCCCGGCCTGTAAGCCGAGGCGTATAACGGTTTGTCTCTCTAGAAAGTCCACATGATGTCTGAAGAGAAATTTAACCCCGCTCTTTCTTATAAAGAAAGTATAGATGCGTCAGCTATTAAGGCGGGACAATTACCATTTTTGAGTAAGTGTTTAGTATGGGCGCCGTTTTACGTGAAAATTATTCTATTTAATTGGCTAAATCTGTGCACGAGATGACTGGACGATAGTAGACCACTTTCAGCAATTGTTGGTGGCAGGAACTGTCTGTGAGTTAGTCTAACAAAGTTGAGTCTTGCAAAATACCTACTTAGACCATTTCTCGTTGTCACCCATTTGTTTAACCACTTCAGTATATTAAACAGAGCACCTTTCATAGAACTAAAATAACCCCCATAGTATTACATGTGCTGGTGGACGAATGGTTTAATCAAAATATCTGTTATTGAGTCAATTGGCGTGGTTACGATTCCTAGCTTGTTTCAATCTGAACGACAGACCCGCCCTACCTGCAGCTAGATACCATTTAATTTTGGTTACGTACGCACTTGTTTGTGACAAGAAGCGGACCGCCTTTTTAACCACGTCGTTTTTCTCCGGGTCCTCCGGTTTCCTCCCATTGTTAAATACCACCAAAATTGAAGCGTGTGTTACTCCCAAAATGACCGTCCTGTCACTTTGACAGCTGAAGGCTAAACGCATGCGCAGTTGGATCATATAGTCTGTCATTGAGTTAAGTGGAGTATATTCCATTGTCGGGTTTCTCCGGGTTCTCTGGTATCCTCCCAATGCTAAAGAACCCTACGCTAAGACAAACTATTGAAATAAAATTGAACTGTATTTTTGTCCCGAAATGACCTAGTTTGTGTTGAGTAGATGATACCCTCCGCCCTTTAATGACATAGTTGTGTCGAGTGGACGTTAAACCAGATCTCCCCCCTCTCTCTCTCTCTCTCTCTCTCTCTCTCTCGTATCTTTGCGAAATGGATTTCTTACATTTATTCTGATTTTTTAATTATTCTCTCCATTTGCTTCTGGTTCTCTGTCAACATGTAATGGTTCTAATATATAAAGACATATATTAGTATCAATACCCCTTTCTATATTTGTAAATTAAATTTAAATTATATCCATTGGATTTTAGTCTGAATGGATGTGTACGCAACGAACACTCCCCCCCCCCCCCTTGGTTTTATCATATCTCGTATTTTTCATAATCATAGTTCACAATCGCGATGTTCCTTCCGTTCCGCTCACCCATCCAGCTCTCCGCCAATTGTCTCGAGCAAGCCAGACACCTTTCATACTTGGCCTGAGTCTCGATCACACGGACCCATTATCAAGTATAAATGTTTGCCTGTTTTCATTAGCCAGATAGAATCATTTTATAACAGGTAACCAAAACAAATTTCGATTTTCAGCCCTCTGATCAGCAGTGTCCATGAATGGCGGTCATATTAGTTCTTAACCCGGATATGGCGGGCATTCACTCAGCCTAAACGCACGTGAATTATTGAAATAAAATTGAACCATATATCATTCCCGAAATGACCTAGTTTTTGTTGAGGGGAAGATACCCCCTCTCTCTCCTTGTATTTTATTCTGAATTGATGTGTTTGAGACGAAACACCCCCACCACCCCCACGTCCCGAATTGTTTTAAAACAATTTTCATATTAAAAAAAAGGAAATATGAAAAAAAATGTAAATGAATTTTTTATTTTATTTTTCTGCATGTTTTTGCTTTTGTAGTTTCTGCAGCGACTGGGTCAAAGAAGGCGGGTATGTTTATGAAAAAATGAAATTTCTTAACTTTTCTTCTGACTTTTCAATTATTTTCGTCGTTTGCTCCTGGGTCTTGCGTATGTCACGAGTCACATAAATAAAGACATATATTAGCATAAATACCTCTTTCTATATTCGTAAATGATATTTATGGATTTTTGAATTGGACATATCCATTGGGCAACGTGAAGTTGGCACGTTATTCGAGATTCGTTATTCGTTATTGGCGAATCCCGAATAACGAGCCAGCACGATATTCGGGATTCGCCACTAAAACAGAACTATCTATCTTGCATCCGACCATTTCCTCGTTGGGTGACCGATTAGCACGGAGACGACCGTTTCTCGAGCGAGTAGGGTGCTGACTAGTTTGTTAGAGTGCACGGGGCAGTCATCTCCAGCAATCATCTGTTTTATTACCGAATCCCGAATCCCGAATGACGTGCTTGCTCGTTATTCGTGATTCGCGAATGACGAATAACGAGCCAGTACGTTATTCAGGATTCGCCACTAAAACAGACCGAAGTACGTTCCATCCGACCATTTCCTCGCTACCTCTGACCGTAGGGGTAAGTGTACGTTGGGTGACCGACTAGCAAGGAGAGGACCGTTTTTAGGGTGTTAACTAGTAATTTTTATTATTATTGAACTTATACTTGGCAATTTGGGGATATTTAGAAACAATACAAAACTGCGGAAATGCACTGTTGTTTTTATTAGAGGTAACCAGTGTATGTTAATAACAGGCCAATTGCCTACACATCAACACAAACAGTTCATATGACGGCCCCATTTCACTCGCAAAGAGATACACCATCAAAAGTGAAAATTGACGTTTTTGATTTTTGTCTTAATAATGAGTAATTGCTCCACCAATTCTCAGACATTCAGCGATTCGTCGTGGCATGCTTCTAGTCAACCGTTCAATCACGATTCGGGGCAATCTGACCCACCTCTCTTGCAGTGCCACGGCCAAGTCTTGCAGTTTTGTCGGTTGACTTTGACGTCGACGAACACGTCTCCCGACCAAATTAAACGTAACACACTAAAGCAAAGATACGCTAAACAGTAAATCTTATGCAAGAACCGATAGGAAAGCAAACATGGATAGGATAAACCAGCAAGCGGTAGTTTTCTTCAACCCTTCCTTGAAGTGTCAAATTTGAAACTGCCCACGCCCTCACGTATATGGCGCTATTGCGTGTCACATGTTAAGGGGCCATACTATATACCGGAAAACACCGGAAAACAACCGGAAAACACCGGAAAACAACCGGAAAGCACCATTTTATACTGAATACCGGAAAACACCGGAAAAACACTAAATACCGGAAAACATCCTAAATACCGGAAAACACCCTAAATAGGTAACCCGGAGCCTGGTCCTCTGTGTGCGGTTTTGGACCAAGTGAGCGCTGATGAAATAAGTTCATTAACATACAAGCGAGCGATCGCCTACGGTCAAAGAAAAATTTCTTTTCAGATTTTTTTTAACAATATCTTCTCCAAAATTTCTCTCAAAAAAAAATTCTAATTTTTTTTCCAGTATTTTTCTCTGTAAAATTATTTTCTACGGAATGTTTTTTGTAAAACCAATTTTTCGGAAAAATTCGAATTTTTTTTTTTGTGACAGAAAATTTTTTTCGTCAAAAAAATTTTGGAGAAAAAAAAATCGGAATTTTTTGGGGGGGGTGGGGTGGGGGTGGGCTATTTGTAAAACGAACATCGTAATGACCTTGACCTTCCTTCATCGGCGCTCACTTGGTCCAAAACCGCACACAGAGGACCAGGCTCCGGGTTACCTATTTAGGGTGTTTTCCGGTATTTAGGATGTTTTCCGGTATTTAGTGTTTTTCCGGTGTTTTCCGGTATTTAGTGTTTTTCCGGTGTTTTCCGGTATTCAGTATAAAATGGTGTTTTCCGGTTGTTTTCCGGTGTTTTCCGGTTGTTTTCCGGTGTTTTCCGGTATATAGTATTGCCGCATGATAAGCTCGGAGGTTCTGTTGGGGCGATAAGTTCTTGATCTGTTAACAAACTCTCAAAGCATGTCAAGTGTCCATGACTATTTATCATATCACAACCTGCATAGGTATTTAGGGGTCACGGTGGCTAAGTGGGTAAGACGCTGACTCGTAGTCTGGAGGTCGTGTATTCGATACCTGCATTGGGCGAGAAAGTTCATCCAGATTTTCCGGCGTGGTTCCCCCTTGTTAGTGATGCAGGGCGGAAGGCCTGATAAGGACAGCTGTCTTGTCATTCGGAAGAGACGACAAACCGAGGTCCCGTGTACACATTGGCATGCACGTAAAAGATCCCTTGACAGTTGGAATTCGATAAAAGAGTAGGCCGTAGTGCCGCTGTCCCGGCAAAATTGCCCTTATAGCACACTGTTTGGCGTATGCCCGTCTTCATTAGCCCAGTCGGAGTAGAACAGTAGGACATTAAACCCCACTTCATTTTATTTGAATACCCCCTGTCCGGTCTTCATTAATAAATTATATAATAATTGTAATTTGTTGTTAATAAATACGCATTTAGTATAATTTTGACTTCTCTCATTTAGGCTGCCTTCTGGCTAATTTCTTTGCGCTTTGCTTACTTTACGCGATGAGAGTTACTTCTCTTTGCCAACTTCCTTTGTAATTAACGATTTATGGGACATGTTGATAAAAATAACACAATCATCAAGAACAGAAAACTTGAAAACGTGTCCCCCAATAGATTAACCCAGGGGTTAGTGGAGTAGAACGGAATGGTACCACTGGTGATACCAAGGATGACCTGTTCCTTGTATTTTATTCTGAATTGATGTTTGAGACCCCCCCCCCCTCGAATTGTTTTAAAGCAATTTTCATATAAAAACAAAGGAAATATGAAAAAAAATGTAAATTTATTTTTTATTTTATTTTTCTGCATGTTTTTGCTTTTGTAGTTTCTGCAGCGACTGAGTCAATGAAAGCAGGTATGTTGATGAAAAAATATAATTTCTTACCTTTTTTTCTGACTTTTTAATTACTTTCTTCATTTGCACCTGGTTCTCTTTCAGCATGATTTTAATATTGCGTGTGTCACGAGTCTAATAAATAAAGACATATATTAGCATAACTACCTCTTTCTATATTCGGATGTCTAGGAATTTTTTTTTAAAAACCATACTTAGCCCATTTCTCTTTGTCACCCATTTGTTTAACCACTTCAGTATATTAAGCAGAGCACCTTTCATAGAACTAAAATAACCCCCATAGTATTACATGTGCTGGTGGACGAATGGTTTAATCAAAATATCTGTTATTGAGTCAATTGGCGTGGTTACGATTCCCAGCTTGTTTCAATCTGAACGACAGACCCACCCTACCTGCAGCTAGATACCATTTAATTTTCCTACGTTAGTTACGTACGCACTTGTTTGTGACAAGAAGCGGGTCGCCTTTTTAACCACGTCGTTTTTCTCCGGGTCCTCCGGTTTCCCCCAATTGTTAAATACCACCAGTTTGATAGCTGAAGGCTAAACGCATGCGCATTGGATCATATAGTCTGTCATTGAGTTAAGTGGCGTATATTCCATTTCCGGGTTTCTCCGGGTTCTCGGTATCCCCCAATGCTAAAGACCCCTACTCTAAGACAAACTAATGAAATAAAATTGATCTGTATTTTTGTCCCGAAATGACCTAGTTTGTGTTGAGTGGATGTTGCCCCCCTCTCTCTCTCTCTCTCTCCCCCTCTCTCTCTCTCTCTCTCTCTTGCATCTTTGAGAAATGGATGTCTTACATTTTTTTCTGCTTTTTTAATTATTCTCTCCGTTTGCTTCTTGTTCTCTGTTCTCTAATAAATAAAGACATACATGTATATTAGTATCAATACCCCTTTCTATATTCGTAAATTATATTGAAATTATATCCATTGGATTTTATTCTGAATGGATGTGTACGCGACGAACCCCCCCCCCCTCCCCCCGACCGAAAAAAAATGCAATTTATTACTTTAATGAAAGGAACTATTGAGACAATGAATCGGAATGAAATGGGTTTTAATGACACATTGGCGTGCATATCAAAGGTCCCTGTGACGCGTCTCTCTCTCTCTCTCTCTCTCTCTCTCTCTCTCTCTCTCTCGTTTGTATCTATGCGAAATGGATTTCTTACCCTTTTTTCTGATTCTTTAATTATTCCCTCCATTTGTTCCTTGTTTTCTTTCAACATGTCACGTGTCTAATAAATAAAGACATATATCAGCAACAATACCCCTTTCTATATTCGTAAATTATATTAAAGGATTTATTTCATTGGACATACGCATTGTATTATTCTGAATTGATGTACATGCAACTCAACATGTAGTATGACAAGAGGAAAAGTAGTCTAGGCGTTGGGTTTATTTTGCCAAATTTACAGAAAAAATATTAACAAAATTGTGGGTGTGACACCGCCCCGGGGGGTCGGGGCATGCACCAAAATAAATAGTTGCTGTCTTTACGGTATAAGGAATACATATGCAAAGTTCCAAGACGATCCATTCAGAACTGCATCCTGTAGACAAAAAATACAAAAATTGGGCGTGGCTCTGCCCTGGGCGTTGGACATGGACCAATATATATAGGTACAACCCTATGCTGGATCATTCCGAACTGAATCCAAATCTGTTAATAATTGCGACCGGTATATCATTTACAGACAAAATATCAACAAAAAGTGGGTGTGGCCACGTCGAAGGGGAGGGGGGGGCGTGCGCCAACATCAATATTTGCCGTCCTTAGGTTATAATACCAAGTTCCAAGATAATACATTCAGAATTGTGGGTTTAGGACTTAAATGCAAAAATTGGGCGTGGTTCTGCCCCTGGGGATCGGGGCATTCACCAAAAACAATATTTGCCGCCCTTGGGCTATAAGGAATACATATGCCATACATGGCCGTGGCTCTGCCCTTGGGGGTCTGGGCATGCAGTTGACGTCCTTAGGCGATAAGGAATACATATCCAAAGTTCAAAGACCCACCCGTTGAGAATCGTGGCCTGTAGGCAACATATAGAAACAAAGAAAAATTGGTGTGGCTCTGTCCCTGGAGGTCGGAAAATCACCAAAAAACAATAGGGGTAATCCCTTGGGTATAAGGAATTGCGGTCTGTGGGCGAAACACAAGACACACACACACAAATATTGGGCGTGGCCCTGTCCCAGGGGGTCGGGCATGCACCAAAAATAATAGCTGTCACACTTAGGGTATAAGGAATAAGTATGAAACGTTTTCAAGACGATCGATTAAAAGGGGTGAGGCTCTGCCCCAGGGGGTTGGGCCTTCACCACAAATAATAGGGGTGTTTCTTAGGGTACACGGAATAAGTATGCAAAGTTTCAAGATGATACGTTAAGAAATGCGATGACAAATAAATAAATACAAGAAATGGGCGTCCGGCATACACCAAAAACAATAGGGATCATTCTTAGGGTATAAGGAATAAATATGAAAATTTTTCAAGACGATTGATTAAGGCGACACACAGACACACAAAAAGAAAATAGGCGTGACTCTGCCCCTGGGGGTTGCGCATGCACCACAAATAAAATGGATGTTCCTTAGGGTAAAAAGACTAAGTATGCAAAGTTTCCAGATAATACGTTAAGAAATGTAGCCTGTAGTCGACAAGCAAACAGATACAAGCAATGACGTATATTGTCTCTATCCCAGAGGCTGAGAGTACGTTCTTCTAAGAAAACTAAATGATGTCTGAAAATATCTTGGAATCCGAAAGAAAGGTGGCAAGACTCTGACACTTCTTCATAGTTCTACATGATGTTCTCGCCCGGCCTGTTAGCCGAGGCGGCTAAAGGTATATCTCTCTAGAAGTCCACATGATGTCTGAAGAGAAATTTAACCCCGCCCTTTCTTATAAAGAAAGTATAGATGCCTCAGGTATTAAGGCGTGACAATAACCATTTTTGGGTAAGTGTTTATTATGGGCGGCTTTTAACGTCAATATTATTCTATTTAATTGGCTTAATCTGTGCACGAGATGACTGGACGATAGTAGTCCAATTGTTGGTGGCAGGAACTGTCTGTGCGTTAATGTAACAAAGTTGAATCTTGCCAAATACCTACTTAGCCCATTTCTCGCTGTCACCCATTTCTTTAATCATGTATATATTAAACAAAGCACCTTCATAGAACTAAAATAACCCCTATAGTATTACGGAAAACGCATCACTTTGTTTCCCAAATATTTTATTACTTGGTGGTTTTGTATTTATAATATTATGCAATACTATGAACTATTGTTTCACACAATGCTCCCAAACGCAAAAAATATCGGCCCGTGCGCACAAAGGCCATGGGAATGTCCAGGGCTGGCATGTCTACACGTTATATTGCCAGACACTTCAATTGTCATCAGTCCACTATTGTAAGGTTGGTGGAACGTGTTCGAGTTACTGGATCAACACGTGACCGTCAACGTCCTGGTCCACAACGCGTTACAACCCAGGCACAAGACCGCTACATCCGGGTCACTCATCTGCGTGACAGATTCCGCCCAGCGACTAGAACAGGTGCAGCAGTCGTCAGAAGTCAAGGACCAGTAAGTGCCAACACCGTAAGACGTCGTCGTCTAAGAGAAGTAGGACTCCGTGCACGACGACCTTATGTTGGAGCTATCCTCAGGGATCATCACCGTCAGCGGCGTTTTACATGGACTCAAGGACACCAGACATGGAGAAGAGTAGACTGGCAAAGTGTGCTCTTCAGTGATGAGAGTCGCTTTCATTTTTATCACGCTGATGGCCGTCAACGTGTGTAGAGACATCTTTGGGAACGTCTTGCAGACTGCTCCGTCTTCGAAACGAATCGATGGGGTGGGGGAAGTGTAATGGTGTGGGGATGCTTCACATTTCATCACCGGACCGCCCTACACATTTGCAGGGGTCGAGTTAATGCTGTAGCCTACCGTGATGATGTCTTGCAACCAATTGTTGTTCCGATGTTTCGAGCGCACCCACAACTTCAGCACTTCCAACAGGACAATGCACGTCCGCATACCGCCCGTTTTAGTATGGACTACCTGGCTGCTAACAACATCAATGTCTTGGACTGTCCAGCCATGTCTCCGGGCATGGCACCGATAGAACATGTCTGGGATGAGATTGGACGCCGTCTGTATCGGAGACCACAGATGCACACCATTGCTGCTTTAGAAGCTGCTGATCTTGTCCAAGAATAGAACAATTTGCCCCAGGCCTTCTTTCAAACATTGGTAAATTCCATGCGACGTCGCTGCACAGCGTGCGTAAGCCCGTGGAGGACACACGCGCTACTGACATCTGTGTCGTACTTTTGGTTTTGACCCCTCTGACTTTGTACCGTTGATTACAGATTAGACATCCATAAGTGTACAAATGTGTTGTTATTGATGTGTTCCCATTTGAATATTGTTCACAATAAGAAGTAAAATAAATAAGATATGTTTACAGGATCATTTTGTTATACGAAAAACTAAGTGATGCCTTTTCCATGGCGCTCAGTATATATTAAACAGAGCACCTTTCATGGAACTAAAATAACCCCCATAGTATTACATGTGCTGGTGGCCGAATTGTTTAATCAAAATATCTGTCATTGAGTGAATTGGCGTGGTTACGATTACCCGCTTGTTTCAATCTGAACGACAGACCCACCCTACCTCCAGCTATAGCTACCATTTAATTTTCGTACGTTTGTTACGTACGGGCTTGTTTGTGACAAGAAGCGGGGTCGCATTTCTAACCACATCGTTTTTCTCCGGGTCCTCTGGTTTCCTCCAATGTTAAATACCCCCAAAATTGAAGCGTGTGTTACTCCTAAAATGAACGTCCTGTCAATTTGATAGCTGAAGGCTAAACGCGTGTGGGTTGGATCATATAGTCTGTCATTGAGTGAATTGGCGTATATTCGATTGCCGGCTTGAAATAAAATTGAACTGCATTTTTGTCCCGAAATGACCGGGTTTGTGTTGAGTGGATGTTACACCCCCCCCTCTCTCTCTCTCTCGCTCTCTCTCTCTCTCTTTCTCTCGTTTCTATCTTTGCGAAATGGATTTATTACCCTTTTCGTCGACTCTTCAATTATTCTTAATTCCATTTGTTCCTGGCTGTCTTTCAACATAGTTTTCATACTGTCCATGTCTTCCTCTCTCTTTTTCAGCATACTGCCGATATCATGAGTCTAATAAATAAAGACATATATTAGCAACAATACCACCAGTTTGATAGCTGAAGGCTAAACGCATGCGCATTGGATCATATAGTCTGTCATTGAGTTAAGTGGCGTATATTCCATTTCCGGGTTTCTCCGGGTTCTCGGTATCCCCCAATGCTAAAGACCCCTACTCTAAGACAAACTAATGAAATAAAATTGATCTGTATTTTTGTCCCGAAATGACCGGTCTTCATTAATAAATTATATAATAATTGTAATTTGTTGTTAATAAATACGCATTTAGTATAATTTTGACTTCTCTCATTTAGGCTGCCTTCTGGCTAATTTCTTTGCGCTTTGCTTACTTTACGCGATGAGAGTTACTTCTCTTTGCCAACTTCCTTTGTAATTAACGATTTATGGGACATGTTGATAAAAATAACACAATCATCAAGAACAGAAAACTTGAAAACGTGTCCCCCAATAGATTAACCCAGGGGTTAGTGGAGTAGAACGGAATGGTACCACTGGTGATACCAAGGATGACCTGTTCCTTGTATTTTATTCTGAATTGATGTTTGAGACCCCCCCCCCCTCGAATTGTTTTAAAGCAATTTTCATATAAAAACAAAGGAAATATGAAAAAAAATGTAAATTTATTTTTTATTTTATTTTTCTGCATGTTTTTGCTTTTGTAGTTTCTGCAGCGACTGAGTCAATGAAAGCAGGTATGTTGATGAAAAAATATAATTTCTTACCTTTTTTTCTGACTTTTTAATTACTTTCTTCATTTGCACCTGGTTCTCTTTCAGCATGATTTTAATATTGCGTATGTCACGAGTCTAATAAATAAAGACATATATTAGCATAACTACCTCTTTCTATATTCGGATGTCTAGGAATTTTTTTTTAAAAACCATACTTAGCCCATTTCTCTTTGTCACCCATTTGTTTAACCACTTCAGTATATTAAGCAGAGCACCTTTCATAGAACTAAAATAACCCCCATAGTATTACATGTGCTGGTGGACGAATGGTTTAATCAAAATATCTGTTATTGAGTCAATTGGCGTGGTTACGATTCCCAGCTTGTTTCAATCTGAACGACAGACCCACCCTACCTGCAGCTAGATACCATTTAATTTTCCTACGTTAGTTACGTACGCACTTGTTTGTGACAAGAAGCGGGTCGCCTTTTTAACCACGTCGTTTTTCTCCGGGTCCTCCGGTTTCCCCCAATTGTTAAATACCACCAGTTTGATAGCTGAAGGCTAAACGCATGCGCATTGGATCATATAGTCTGTCATTGAGTTAAGTGGCGTATATTCCATTTCCGGGTTTCTCCGGGTTCTCGGTATCCCCCAATGCTAAAGACCCCTACTCTAAGACAAACTAATGAAATAAAATTGATCTGTATTTTTGTCCCGAAATGACCTAGTTTGTGTTGAGTGGATGTTGCCCCCCTCTCTCTCTCTCTCTCTCTCTCTCTCTCTCTCTCTCTTGCATCTTTGAGAAATGGATGTCTTACATTTTTTTCTGCTTTTTTAATTATTCTCTCCGTTTGCTTCTTGTTCTCTGTTCTCTAATAAATAAAGACATACATGTATATTAGTATCAATACCCCTTTCTATATTCGTAAATTATATTGAAATTATATCCATTGGATTTTATTCTGAATGGATGTGTACGCGACGAACCCCCCCCCCCCCCTCCCCCCGACCGAAAAAAAATGCAATTTATTACTTTAATGAAAGGAACTATTGAGACAATGAATCGGAATGAAATGGGTTTTAATGACACATTGGCGTGCATATCAAAGGTCCCTGTGACGCGTCTCTCTCTCTCTCTCTCTCTCTCTCTCTCTCTCTCTCTCGTTTGTATCTATGCGAAATGGATTTCTTACCCTTTTTTCTGATTCTTTAATTATTCCCTCCATTTGTTCCTTGTTTTCTTTCAACATGTCACGTGTCTAATAAATAAAGACATATATCAGCAACAATACCCCTTTCTATATTCGTAAATTATATTAAAGGATTTATTTCATTGGACATACGCATTGTATTATTCTGAATTGATGTACATGCAACTCAACATGTAGTATGACAAGAGGAAAAGTAGTCTAGGCGTTGGGTTTATTTTGCCAAATTTACAGAAAAAATATTAACAAAATTGTGGGTGTGACACCGCCCCGGGGGGTCGGGGCATGCACCAAAATAAATAGTTGCTGTCTTTACGGTATAAGGAATACATATGCAAAGTTCCAAGACGATCCATTCAGAACTGCATCCTGTAGACAAAAAATACAAAAATTGGGCGTGGCTCTGCCCTGGGCGTTGGACATGGACCAATATATATAGGTACAACCCTATGCTGGATCATTCCGAACTGAATCCAAATCTGTTAATAATTGCGACCGGTATATCATTTACAGACAAAATATCAACAAAAAGTGGGTGTGGCCACGTCGAAGGGGAGGGGGGGGCGTGCGCCAACATCAATATTTGCCGTCCTTAGGTTATAATACCAAGTTCCAAGATAATACATTCAGAATTGTGGGTTTAGGACTTAAATGCAAAAATTGGGCGTGGTTCTGCCCCTGGGGATCGGGGCATTCACCAAAAACAATATTTGCCGCCCTTGGGCTATAAGGAATACATATGCCATACATGGCCGTGGCTCTGCCCTTGGGGGTCTGGGCATGCAGTTGACGTCCTTAGGCGATAAGGAATACATATCCAAAGTTCAAAGACCCACCCGTTGAGAATCGTGGCCTGTAGGCAACATATAGAAACAAAGAAAAATTGGTGTGGCTCTGTCCCTGGAGGTCGGAAAATCACCAAAAAACAATAGGGGTAATCCCTTGGGTATAAGGAATTGCGGTCTGTGGGCGAAACACAAGACACACACACACAAATATTGGGCGTGGCCCTGTCCCAGGGGGTCGGGCATGCACCAAAAATAATAGCTGTCACACTTAGGGTATAAGGAATAAGTATGAAACGTTTTCAAGACGATCGATTAAAAGGGGTGAGGCTCTGCCCCAGGGGGTTGGGCCTTCACCACAAATAATAGGGGTGTTTCTTAGGGTACACGGAATAAGTATGCAAAGTTTCAAGATGATACGTTAAGAAATGCGATGACAAATAAATAAATACAAGAAATGGGCGTCCGGCATACACCAAAAACAATAGGGATCATTCTTAGGGTATAAGGAATAAATATGAAAATTTTTCAAGACGATTGATTAAGGCGACACACAGACACACAAAAAGAAAATAGGCGTGACTCTGCCCCTGGGGGTTGCGCATGCACCACAAATAAAATGGATGTTCCTTAGGGTAAAAAGACTAAGTATGCAAAGTTTCCAGATAATACGTTAAGAAATGTAGCCTGTAGTCGACAAGCAAACAGATACAAGCAATGACGTATATTGTCTCTATCCCAGAGGCTGAGAGTACGTTCTTCTAAGAAAACTAAATGATGTCTGAAAATATCTTGGAATCCGAAAGAAAGGTGGCAAGACTCTGACACTTCTTCATAGTTCTACATGATGTTCTCGCCCGGCCTGTTAGCCGAGGCGGCTAAAGGTATATCTCTCTAGAAGTCCACATGATGTCTGAAGAGAAATTTAACCCCGCCCTTTCTTATAAAGAAAGTATAGATGCCTCAGGTATTAAGGCGTGACAATAACCATTTTTGGGTAAGTGTTTATTATGGGCGGCTTTTAACGTCAATATTATTCTATTTAATTGGCTTAATCTGTGCACGAGATGACTGGACGATAGTAGTCCAATTGTTGGTGGCAGGAACTGTCTGTGCGTTAATGTAACAAAGTTGAATCTTGCCAAATACCTACTTAGCCCATTTCTCGCTGTCACCCATTTCTTTAATCATGTATATATTAAACAAAGCACCTTCATAGAACTAAAATAACCCCTATAGTATTACGGAAAACGCATCACTTTGTTTCCCAAATATTTTATTACTTGGTGGTTTTGTATTTATAATATTATGCAATACTATGAACTATTGTTTCACACAATGCTCCCAAACGCAAAAAATATCGGCCCGTGCGCACAAAGGCCATGGGAATGTCCAGGGCTGGCATGTCTACACGTTATATTGCCAGACACTTCAATTGTCATCAGTCCACTATTGTAAGGTTGGTGGAACGTGTTCGAGTTACTGGATCAACACGTGACCGTCAACGTCCTGGTCCACAACGCGTTACAACCCAGGCACAAGACCGCTACATCCGGGTCACTCATCTGCGTGACAGATTCCGCCCAGCGACTAGAACAGGTGCAGCAGTCGTCAGAAGTCAAGGACCAGTAAGTGCCAACACCGTAAGACGTCGTCGTCTAAGAGAAGTAGGACTCCGTGCACGACGACCTTATGTTGGAGCTATCCTCAGGGATCATCACCGTCAGCGGCGTTTTACATGGACTCAAGGACACCAGACATGGAGAAGAGTAGACTGGCAAAGTGTGCTCTTCAGTGATGAGAGTCGCTTTCATTTTTATCACGCTGATGGCCGTCAACGTGTGTAGAGACATCTTTGGGAACGTCTTGCAGACTGCTCCGTCTTCGAAACGAATCGATGGGGTGGGGGAAGTGTAATGGTGTGGGGATGCTTCACATTTCATCACCGGACCGCCCTACACATTTGCAGGGGTCGAGTTAATGCTGTAGCCTACCGTGATGATGTCTTGCAACCAATTGTTGTTCCGATGTTTCGAGCGCACCCACAACTTCAGCACTTCCAACAGGACAATGCACGTCCGCATACCGCCCGTTTTAGTATGGACTACCTGGCTGCTAACAACATCAATGTCTTGGACTGTCCAGCCATGTCTCCGGGCATGGCACCGATAGAACATGTCTGGGATGAGATTGGACGCCGTCTGTATCGGAGACCACAGATGCACACCATTGCTGCTTTAGAAGCTGCTGATCTTGTCCAAGAATAGAACAATTTGCCCCAGGCCTTCTTTCAAACATTGGTAAATTCCATGCGACGTCGCTGCACAGCGTGCGTAAGCCCGTGGAGGACACACGCGCTACTGACATCTGTGTCGTACTTTTGGTTTTGACCCCTCTGACTTTGTACCGTTGATTACAGATTAGACATCCATAAGTGTACAAATGTGTTGTTATTGATGTGTTCCCATTTGAATATTGTTCACAATAAGAAGTAAAATAAATAAGATATGTTTACAGGATCATTTTGTTATACGAAAAACTAAGTGATGCCTTTTCCATGGCGCTCAGTATATATTAAACAGAGCACCTTTCATGGAACTAAAATAACCCCCATAGTATTACATGTGCTGGTGGCCGAATTGTTTAATCAAAATATCTGTCATTGAGTGAATTGGCGTGGTTACGATTACCCGCTTGTTTCAATCTGAACGACAGACCCACCCTACCTCCAGCTATAGCTACCATTTAATTTTCGTACGTTTGTTACGTACGGGCTTGTTTGTGACAAGAAGCGGGGTCGCATTTCTAACCACATCGTTTTTCTCCGGGTCCTCTGGTTTCCTCCAATGTTAAATACCCCCAAAATTGAAGCGTGTGTTACTCCTAAAATGAACGTCCTGTCAATTTGATAGCTGAAGGCTAAACGCGTGTGGGTTGGATCATATAGTCTGTCATTGAGTGAATTGGCGTATATTCGATTGCCGGCTTGAAATAAAATTGAACTGCATTTTTGTCCCGAAATGACCGGGTTTGTGTTGAGTGGATGTTACACCCCCCCCCTCTCTCTCTCTCTCGCTCTCTCTCTCTCTCTTTCTCTCGTTTCTATCTTTGCGAAATGGATTTATTACCCTTTTCGTCGACTCTTCAATTATTCTTAATTCCATTTGTTCCTGGCTGTCTTTCAACATAGTTTTCATACTGTCCATGTCTTCCTCTCTCTTTTTCAGCATACTGCCGATATCATGAGTCTAATAAATAAAGACATATATTAGCAACAATACCACCAGTTTGATAGCTGAAGGCTAAACGCATGCGCATTGGATCATATAGTCTGTCATTGAGTTAAGTGGCGTATATTCCATTTCCGGGTTTCTCCGGGTTCTCGGTATCCCCCAATGCTAAAGACCCCTACTCTAAGACAAACTAATGAAATAAAATTGATCTGTATTTTTGTCCCGAAATGACCTAGTTTGTGTTGAGTGGATGTTGCCCCCCTCTCTCTCTCTCTCTCTCTCTCTCTCTCTCTCTTGCATCTTTGAGAAATGGATGTCTTACATTTTTTTCTGCTTTTTTAATTATTCTCTCCGTTTGCTTCTTGTTCTCTGTTCTCTAATAAATAAAGACATACATGTATATTAGTATTAATACCCCTTTCTATATTCGTAAATTATATTGAAATTATATCCATTGGATTTTATTCTGAATGGATGTGTACGCGACGAACCCCCCCCCCCCCTCCCCCCGACCGAAAAAAAAATGCAATTTATTACTTTAATGAAAGGAACTATTGAGACAATGAATCGGAATGAAATGGGTTTTAATGACACATTGGCGTGCATATCAAAGGTCCCTGTGACGCGTCTCTCTCTCTCTCTCTCTCTCTCTCTCTCTCTCTCTCGTTTGTATCTATGCGAAATGGATTTCTTACCCTTTTTTCTGATTCTTTAATTATTCCCTCCATTTGTTCCTTGTTCTCTTTCAACATGTCACGTGTCTAATAAATAAAGACATATATCAGCAACAATACCCCTTTCTATATTCGTAAATTATATTAAAGGATTTATTTCATTGGACATACGCATTGTATTATTCTGAATTGATGTACATGCAACTCAACATGTAGTATGACAAGAGGAAAAGTAGTCTAGGCGTTGGGTTTATTTTGCCAAATTTACAGAAAAAATATTAACAAAATTGTGGGTGTGACACCGCCCCGGGGGGTCGGGGCATGCACCAAAATAAATAGTTGCTGTCTTTACGGTATAAGGAATACATATGCAAAGTTCCAAGACGATCCATTTAGAACTGCATCCTGTAGACAAAAAATACAAAAATTGGGCGTGGCTCTGCCCTGGGCGTTGGACATGGACCAATATATATAGGTACAACCCTATGCTGGATCATTCCGAACTGAATCCAAATCTGTTAATAATTGCGACCGGTATATCATTTACAGACAAAATATCAACAAAAAGTGGGTGTGGCCACGTCGAAGGGGAGGGGGGGGGGCGTGCGCCAACATCAATATTTGCCGTCCTTAGGTTATAATACCAAGTTCCAAGATAATACATTCAGAATTGTGGGTTTAGGACTTAAATGCAAAAATTGGGCGTGGTTCTGCCCCTGGGTATCGGGGCATTCACCAAAAACAATATTTGCCGCCCTTGGGCTATAAGGAATACATATGCCATACATGGCCGTGGCTCTGCCCTTGGGGGTCTGGGCATGCAGTTGACGTCCTTAGGCGATAAGGAATACATATCCAAAGTTCAAAGACCCACCCGTTGAGAATCGTGGCCTGTAGGCAACATATAGAAACAAAGAAAAATTGGTGTGGCTCTGTCCCTGGAGGTCGGAAAATCACCAAAAAACAATAGGGGTAATCCCTTGGGTATAAGGAATTGCGGTCTGTGGGCGAAACACAAGACACACACACACAAATATTGGGCGTGGCCCTGTCCCAGGGGGTCGGGCATGCACCAAAAATAATAGCTGTCACACTTAGGGTATAAGGAATAAGTATGAAACGTTTTCAAGACGATCGATTAAAAGGGGTGAGGCTCTGCCCAAGGGGGTTGGGCCTTCACCACAAATAATAGGGGTGTTTCTTAGGGTACACGGAATAAGTATGCAAAGTTTCAAGATGATACGTTAAGAAATGCGATGACAAATAAATAAATACAAGAAATGGGCGTCCGGCATACACCAAAAACAATAGGGATCATTCTTAGGGTATAAGGAATAAATATGAATATTTTTCAAAACGATTGATTAAGGCGACACACAGACACACAAAAAGAAAATAGGCGTGACTCTGCCCCTGGGGGTTGCGCATGCACCACAAATAAAATGGATGTTCCTTAGGGTAAAAAGACTAAGTATGCAAAGTTTCCAGATAATACGTTAAGAAATGTGGCCTGTAGTCGACAAGCAAACAGATACAAGCAATGACGTATATTGTCTCTATCCCAGAGGCTGAGAGTACGTTCTTCTAAGAAAACTAAATGATGTCTGAAAATATCTTGGAATCCGAAAGAAAGGTGGCAAGACTCTGACACTTCTTCATAGTTCTACATGATGTTCTCGCCCGGCCTGTTAGCCGAGGCGGCTAAAGGTATATCTCTCTAGAAGTCCACATGATGTCTGAAGAGAAATTTAACCCCGCCCTTTCTTATAAAGAAAGTATAGATGCCTCAGGTATTAAGGCGTGACAATAACCATTTTTGGGTAAGTGTTTATTATGGGCGGCTTTTAACGTCAATATTATTCTATTTAATTGGCTTAATCTGTGCACGAGATGACTGGACGATAGTAGTCCAATTGTTGGTGGCAGGAACTGTCTGTGCGTTAATGTAACAAAGTTGAATCTTGCCAAATACCTACTTAGCCCATTTCTCGCTGTCACCCATTTCTTTAATCATGTATATATTAAACAAAGCACCTTCATAGAACTAAAATAACCCCTATAGTATTACGGAAAACGCATCACTTTTTTTCCCAAATATTTTATTACTTGGTGGTTTTGTATTTATAATATTATGCAATACTATGAACTATTGTTTCACACAATGCTCCCAAACGCAAAAAATATCGGCCCGTGCGCACAAAAGCCATGGGAATGTCCAGGGCTGGCATGTCTACACGTTATATTGCCAGACACTTCAATTGTCATCAGTCCACTATTGTAAGGTTGGTGGAACGTGTTCGAGTTACTGGATCAACACGTGACCGTCAACGTCCTGGTCCACAACGCGTTACAACCCAGGCACAAGACCGCTACATCCGGGTCACTCATCTGCGTGACAGATTCCGCCCAGCGACTAGAACAGGTGCAGCAGTCGTCAGAAGTCAAGGACCAGTAAGTGCCAACACCGTAAGACGTCGTCGTCTAAGAGAAGTAGGACTCCGTGCACGACGACCTTATGTTGGAGCTATCCTCAGGGATCATCACCGTCAGCGGCGTTTGATGTGGACTCAAGGACACCAGACATGGAGAAGAGTAGACTGGCAAAGTGTGCTCTTCAGTGATGAGAGTCGCTTTCATCTTTATCACGCTGATGGCCGTCAACGTGTGTAGAGACATCTTTGGGAACGTCTTGCAGACTGCTCCGTCTTCGAAACGAATCGATGGGGTGGGGGAAGTGTAATGGTGTGGGGATGCTTCACATTTCATCACCGGACCGCCCTACACATTTGCAGGGGTCGTGTTAATGCTGTAGCCTACCGTGATGATGTCTTGCAACCAATTGTTGTTCCGATGTTTCGAGCGCACCCACAACTTCAGCACTACCTGGCTGCTAACAACATCAATGTCTTGGACTGTCCAGCCATGTCTCCGGGCATGGCACCGATAGAACATGTCTGGGATGAGATTGGACGCCGTCTGTATCGGAGACCACAGATGCACACCATTGCTGCTTTAGAAGCTGCTGATCTTGTCCAAGAATAGAACAATTTGCCCCAGGCCTTCTTTCAAACATTGGTAAATTCCATGCGACGTCGCTGCACAGCGTGCGTAATCCCGTGGAGGACACACGCGCTACTGACATCTGTGTCGTACTTTTGGTTTTGACCCCTCTGACTTTGTACCGTTGATTACAGATTAGACATCCATAAGTGTACAAATGTGTTGTTATTGATGTGTTCCCATTTGAATATTGTTCACAATAAGAAGTAAAATAAATAAGATATGTTTACAGGATCATTTTGTTATACGAAAAACTAAGTGATGCCTTTTCCATGGCGCTCAGTATATATTAAACAGAGCACCTTTCATGGAACTAAAATAACCCCCATAGTATTACATGTGCTGGTGGCCGAATTGTTTAATCAAAATATCTGTCATTGAGTGAATTGGCGTGGTTACGATTCCCCGCTTGTTTCAATCTGAACGACAGACCCACCCTACCTCCAGCTATAGCTACCATTTAATTTTCGTACGTTTGTTACGTACGGGCTTGTTTGTGACAAGAAGTGGGGTCGCATTTCTAACCACATCGTTTTTCTCCGGGTCCTCTGGTTTCCTCCAATGTTAAATACCCCCAAAATTGAAGCGTGTGTTACTCCTAAAATGAACGTCCTGTCAATTTGATAGCTGAAGGCTAAACGCGTGTGGGTTGGATCATATAGTCTGTCATTGAGTGAATTGGCGTATATTCGATTGCCGGCTTGAAATAAAATTGAACTGCATTTTTGTCCCGAAATGACCGGGTTTGTGTTGAGTGGATGTTACACCCCCCCCCCCTTCTCTCTCTCTCGCTCTCTCTCTCTCTTTCTCTCGTTTCTATCTTTGCGAAATGGATTTATTACCCTTTTCGTCGACTCTTCAATTATTCTTAATTCCATTTGTTCCTGGCTGTCTTTCAACATAGTTTTCATACTGTCCATGTCTTCCTCTCTCTTTTTCAGCATACTGCCGATATCATGAGTCTAATAAATAAAGACATATATTAGCAACAATACCTCTTTCTATGTTCGTAAATGATATGCAAGGGTTTTTTCATGTAGATTTGTTCCTTATATTTATATTCTGAATTGATGTGCTTGCGACGAAACAACCGATTTTTTTTTTAAAAAAAAGAAAAAAAAAGGAATGTATGATGTTGTTTTGTTATTTCCTGAAGCGACTGGGTCAATGACGACGTGCACCTTTGTGAAGTTTATTTCTTACCTTTGTTTCTGACTTTTCATTTATTCTCACCATGGTTTTCAGCATCGTTATATGTCTTCATTAGCCAGATCGAAGAAGAACAGTGGGATGTTAAACCCTATTTCATCATGTTAAACCCTATTTCATATCTCTCTCTCTCTCTCTCTCTCTCTCCAGTTTGTATGATTTTCTTACCTTTATTTTCAACTTTTCAATTATTTTCTTCATTTCCTCCTGGTTCTCTTTGAGTATGATTTCAATACTGTCCATGTCAGGAGTCTAATAAATAAAGACATATATGCAACAATACTCCTTTCTATATTCGTAAATAATATTTAAGAGATTTTGCATTGCATAAACTCCTTGTATTTTCTTCTGAATTCATGTGTATGCAACGAAACACCACACCCACCCCATACAAAAAATGGAAGTTACACAATTTTACTTTTATCAATTGTGTAACTTCCATTTTACTTTTATCAATGTTAATAAACAAAAAAACTAAACGAAATGAAATGGGGGTTAAGAAAGGAATGAGGTCCCGTGTTCACATTGGCGTGCATATAAAAGGTCCCTTGGCAGTTGAAATTCGACGTAAGAGTGGTCCGCAGTGCCGCTGTTCGGGTAAAATTTACCGTAAAGCACATTGTCCGTCTCCATTAGACACATCGTAGTAGAAAAGTAGGACCCTAAACCCATTTCATTTCTTTTTATTACAGGTAACCAAAGCATTTTTTTTAACACGAGGGGGTGGGGGTGGGTTGGTGTGCTGGTGGCCGTATGGTTTAAAGCGTGCGCTCTAAATCATAATATTTGTCATTGAGTCAAATGGCGTGGTTACGATTTCCCGCTTGTGTGTGACAACATGTGGGGTCGGTCGCCTTTCCAAGTATGTCGTTTTTCTCCGGGACCTCCGGTTTTCTCCCACTGTTAAAGACCTCTAAAATTGAAACGTGTGTTACTCCCAATATGACATACTCTCTTTCTCTCTCTCTCTCGCTCTTGAAAAGTTTTCTCCCACTGTTAAAGATCTCTAAAATTGAAGCGTGTGTACTCCTAATATGACATACTCTCTCTCTCTCTCTTGAAAAGTATTTCTTACTTTGTTGTCAAGGTAACAACGAAGCAACCCTTCCCCCATTTCTTTCAACCCGATTATAAAGAAATAAAAAGTGCATCGGTACCGCTACAATATACGTCCACATACCTTGGGGTCGGGGTAGGCACCAAAATAAATAATTGCTGTTTTTACGATATAAGGAATAAATCTGCAATTTTCCAAGTTGATCCATTCAGAATTGCAGCTTGTAGACGATTAACAGAAAAATTGGGCGTGGCTCGGCACCTGGGGGTTGGATATGGAACAATACAAGTAGGTACAAACTATGACGGATAATGCCGAATTGGATCCAAATCTGTTAATGATTGCAACATGTAGATTATTACAGAAAAAATATTAACAAAACGTATATGAAATACATATGCCAAGTTCCAAGTTGATCCATTCAGAATTGTGGCCTTCAGACGTTAAAACAAATGGGCTTGACTGTGCCCCTAGGGGTTAGGACGACATGCATTAAAATCAATAGTTGCCGTCTTTAGGCTATAAGGAATACATAAGTTCCAAGATGATTCATTCAGAATGGCGTGTAAACGATAAACACAAAAAACTGAGCGTGGCTCTTCCCCTGGGGCTGGGACATGTACCAGAATCAATAGTTGTCATTCTTAGGCTATAAGGGATACATATGCCAGGTGCCAAGACGATCCATAAAGAAAATATGGGTGTGGCTCTGCCCCTGGGGGGGGGGGGGCATCCACCAAGGTATCATCCTTAGGATAAAAAAATGGTATGCAAAGTTTCAAAAGGATTCGTCAAGAATTGCGACCGGTAGGCAACACACAGACATACACAAAAATTGGGGTTGGCACTGCCCCAGTGGGTTGGGCATGCACCAGAAACAATATAGGTCAGCCTTAGGGTATAAGGAATAAATGTGCAAAGTTTCAAGACAATCGATTAAGACTTGTTGCCTTTAGGCGAACCACAGACACACACAGACAGGATTTTGTGTATTTTTCTGTATATTTTGGCTTTGGTATTTTCTGAAAGAACTGGGTCAATGAAGACGGGTATCTTTATGAAATATGTTTCTTGCCTTTTTTTCTGACTTTTCAGTTATTCTCTCAAACGCCCCCACCCCACCAATTTTTTAAGCGATTTTTATTTTTTTAAAAAAAGGGAATATGAAAAATATGAAAATGGATTCTTTTTATTCTTCTGTATATTTTTGTTTTGGTTATTTCTGCAACGAGTTGGTCAATGAAAACGGACATCTTCTTACCTTTGTTTCAGACTTTTCAGTTATTCTCTGCTGGAGCACCATGAATCTTTCTGTCTGACGTGGAGAGCGTACATTGTCTGTCTTACCAGGAATAACAATGCGACAGTTTGCTTCTACATATTTTATATATATATATATATATATAATGCGAATACAGGTATACAAGCATAGCACAAATTACAATACTATATAGCTAAAACCACTTCTCCACCCTATCCAGCCTTTCGGCTGTCTAGGAACTCAGATGTACCCTCGATCTCTGGAATCTAATGCAAGTCTGACTTACAGGGTTCCCCAGTTTCTTTTAAAGGTAAGTGAATATCATGCACAATAACGCGTGATCATGGCCCTGAACTTGTGTAATTAAAAAAATGATTGGTTACTTTAAATCAAATGATGCAATTAGAATAATTCCACTCACGTGTAATTCGGTGGTAAATGAGTGACATATGTTTTCGATAAATCGCTCTTTTTTATGTGTCAACTATCAATTACAGACTAAGTTGATTTAAGTATTTTAAGTACATATCACATATTATGCGAATATGTTATTTCTCGAGCAAAACTTCTACTAAGAGTATTACATTCGTCCCTTTCTTTAAGACTTTTTGCTCGGTATTGGGTAAAAGATTCCTTGAATCCTTTACAATAACCATACCAACATCTGTAGAATTATATAACTATTCATAAATGTAGCAGAAATCTAGAAAATCAACATATATAATTATCACCTCCCCGCCTTCTAAGATTTATGCTAAATGAACAGGTAGGAGACTCTTAAAACGTCTATGTGCTAAACCCTATAATTATTCATGCAACAGGCAAATATCAATGATACTATACTATATAACAAAACTGAAAACACAAACACACATAATCAAAAATCAAAAATCAAAAGTTGCATGCAAAAGTTCTCCAAAAAGTTCATCACTGTAAAATCCTATGAAAATTCACTAAGCCTAAACACAGAAAACACAAATTGTCTTTTTTAAATCTTCAAGTGTCCTAATTTCAAAACACTATAACACATCACGTAATGTTTATAAAGTTCAGGTTTCACTTCAAATTCTGTCTCAGGAAATGTCAATTTGGTAAACTGGTAAACCATTTCTTCTTCTTGGATGTGTATTGGTCTGTTTCAGCTACCATACATGTAGTATCAAGTTGAAACTTTCTTTTCTTCTAAGTATGATTGGTTTGTACAATTTTATCCGTCAATCAAACATGTCATTGCCATCAGACCAAGAACTAACTATTCCTAAATTATTAAAACTTTATTTTCATATTAATCTAACATTATTATTTCGAAAAATTATTTGTAAATCTTACTCTTAATTAAAATTAACTTTATTTAAGTATTAATAAACTTTGATGTGTCCCTTTAATTATAAATCTTCAAACTAAGTTTGACCTCTTGACCTAACTCGATCAGTAATGGACAATTTTATAATTACGTTTATGTTTTATAATTTCCGTTTCTGTTTTAGAATTCCTACATTGTTATTTTATATTTCACCGTCAGTAATGTGACCTTTTTGACCTAATCATTATAATCCACCATTTTGTATGTTAGTCAAAAACCAATACATGAAACAAGCCCATGGTTACTTATTCCACATTAGTATCACCTAACACGTTATTTAGAATAGGACTGTCAATCAAATATGGCCAGTATATGAATGACATTCCATTTCATCCTACAGTTCCTATTCCATTATTAGTATTACATGTATATAAACATTATTTAGAATCATGTTCAAAGCAAGTGACGTGCACTTCACTCCCTCGGAACACCAGTCTATATTCTATAAACAAAACAATTAGAACATACCTAACTATATCCTATATATTATATTAATGCAATCCGTGACTTTTACACACGTCAAATTTAACACAGTGTTAGAACCTATTGTTTATAATAATTCGACCTCATGTCAAATTACACATTCTAATCCTTGCGTACATGTTGACAGCTTAAAGCAATTAGCAGTATATATTAAACGTTAATATTACGTTTCTAAGCAAAAATTTAATTACATAAAATTATATACGGACAAAATCTACCGTATACTCCACTTTTCTAAAAAGTGTCGCATTCTTAACTTTAACCTCCTATGAAACTCGTATTAATGACTTTGCGATAATCTCACAATTTCACGTGCCAATAATTTTAGTTTTTCCCAGGAAAACTATAACCAACATCCCTAGATTAACCATATGGGATTTTTTTACATAACCCAACTTTTTAATCAAAAGTTAAATTACCTAATTTTGAAACCTTGGACGAGAGATTCAAAATTACACTACTCTACTTATTTAACCACGTGGACGACACAAAAACGCGAATAATAGCAATTCAACCTTTTAGTCAAAAGTTAAACTACGACTAAAACTAAAAATCTTGAGACTTTGGACTAGAGCCTCAAAACTATATAGTATACGAAACAACAAAAAACACAAATTAACGAATCACAGTAGAAACCGCGGCCAACTAGGAAACTAGAGTTAATCACTCACAAATTTCATCCTTAGCTCTGCCGTCGTTGTCACTGCGATCCGGAGACAACATTAGTTCCTTATTTTATTCCCTATTCCGTTTCCTTATTATTCCTTAGTTATATCAAAACATTTTTTTTAAAACCTACTCCCTAAAGACCCTCACTTTAACTTTAATTTTATTACTCAAATTTACTACAGGTCATGTTAACCTGATAATATACACACCTAACTCATGAAATTATATTGTTTAATAAACCTATCAATCTCAACTTATGAATGACTCTAATTTATTCTCTATACAGTTAAATTTCAAATACTTAGTTTCTTATCAGATGTTAACTTTAAATTAATATTATTTGGTCTTTAAACAAATTTAACACATTTAATTTACCAAACAAAATGTATTTACCCAATTTTTGGAATATCTCCACCAGAATTGTTCTGTTGCTGGATTGTACAGGTTTTCTTCGTAACGTCTTCAAATATGTATTCTTCTTCTAAAGTGACTTCTTACCCCAAAGGTCGAAATTGCGTACAGTATCAAATTAGAATATGTAAGACTATGCAGTGCTATGCAGTCAGTGGTTAGATGTGGAAAATATTACGAGAGAACTCCCCCCATCCAACGTGTGATGCATACTCTCTTTTCTTCTAATCTTCTTCCAAATTTTCTGCTTACCCTAAAGGTACAAATAGAATATGTATTCTTCTTCCAGGTTACTCGATCTCGTAGTCACGTGCACCAAATAGAATATGTAGCACCATGAGTCTTTCTGTCTGACGTGGAGAGCGTACATTGTCAAACCGGTCGCCACATCCTACATACGACCCATGCATCTTTTCTTACTACATATTTCTGTAGCCTTGTGATCGTCTAGGATTTGTCTCTAGCTGTCTTTACTTCTGCTTCACGTTGTGTATTTACTTCTTCCAGTTTCTTAAGACGTCTGTCTTACCAGGAATAACAATGCGACAGTTTGCTTCTACATATTTTATATATATATATAATGCTGAATACAGGTATACAAGCATAGCACAAATTACAATACTATATAGCTAAAACCACTTCTCCACCCTATCCAGCCTTTCGGCTGTCTAGGAACTCAGATGTACCCTCGATCTCTGGAATCTAATGCAAGTCTGACTTACAGGGTTCCCCGGTTTCTTTTAAAGGTAAGTGAATATCATGCACAATAACGCGTGATCATGGCCCTGAACTTGTGTAATTAACAAAATGATTGGTTACTTTAAATCAAATGATGCAATTAGAATAATTCCACTCACGTGTAATTCGGTGGTAAATGAGTGACATATGTTTTCGATAAATCGCTCTTTTTTATGAGTCAACTATCAATTACAGACTAAGTTGATTTAAGTATTTTAAGTACATATCACATATTATGCGAATATGTTATTTCTCGAGCAAAAATTCTACTAAAAGCATTACACTGCTTCTGGTTGGTTTTCAGCATTGTTAACATACTGCCGATATCATGAGTCTAACAAATAAAGACATATATCAGCAACAATACCTCTTTCTATATTCGTAAATGATATGCAAGGGATTTTTCATGTAGATTTGTTCCTTGTATTTTGATTCTGAATTGATGTGCTTGCGACGAAACAACCGCCACCCTCTTCCCCACACCCCCAATTTTTTTAAGCGATACAGACACATACACACCACACACATACACACAGACAGGGGCGACGGCAATATACGTCCATTTTATGACTGTGCACGTTTAAAAAAGGGAAATATGAAAAATATGAAAATGGATTTTTTGTATTTTTCTGTATGTTCTCATGCTTTGGTACTTTGTGCAGCGACTGGGGCAATCCATAAAATGGGAAATTGATATTCCTCATCCATAAAAAGAAATGAGGTTTAACGTCATAGCATCCCTTTCTGCCCTGACTGGGGTATTGAAGACGTGTACTATAACAGAGGAATGTGATAAAAAAGAAAAGAAAAAAAAGATGACTTACTTGGTCTATGTTCGGATGTGGATCAGAGTTTATCAATTGTTCATTAACTTTTGGATTATCTAAAGGTACTGCTGATGATTCATTCTCTGGATTATCGGTATTAGATGCTGCATCACTATAAATGAATAGGAGATATGGAAACAGTCGCTATGAGAAAACATAATAATTAATATAATAATAAAGACTATTTACATCAAGTAGGATAAACCTAATCCATGACGGATGTAGAATATACAACATAATTAATTCCTTAAAATAGATAAATTAAACATACATTATGCAAGAGCTAAATCTGTCTATTGCAGGTCTTTCTTTAGGGCTGAAATGTTATCTAAATTATTAATTAGACATTAATTAACCTATCCAGACCATAATCAACTCTAGATGGCATCGCTAGCCTGCAATCTTTAGTGGATTATGAGCCGATTTACTGCATAAATTTCCTTCACGATTTAACGATTAAATGAATAATCGAGACTATGCTGTTTATAGTACTGACTTTAGTAATGATGACCAAGGCTAGCCTGAAATTTCAACCGCTTAGTTCTCGGTTCATAGTGGATCAATTTGAATGAAATTTTCAG